TAGTTCCCCTACAGACTAAATTTTAACAGTACAGTTATATTATTTATTGGTTTACCTGTTAAAAAAAGGAATCACTACTTCACAGTACTCGAAGTTGTTCCTAATTGTTTCATGTAGCTTCAATTGAATTATTATTTATTATTATTATTTTTATTATTAGTATAATGTTATTATCATTATTGTTTTTATTATTTAGGATCGTGAGACATTGCGTCAGATTGGTAGGCGAGAGCTTCAAAGTGAGCTCCAAGAGACAAAGAAAGCTGTAGCTAGGAGAACAGCACCTGAGATCATCAACAGTATAAGGTATGTATTGTATATAATGCCCATATCATTAGCAGTATCTTTATTCAAACTATTAGTGGTATGAATTTAGAAACAGCTGCTGTTATATCGGAACTGATTGTTGATAGGACACTGGACGAACTGGAGGGATGCACTGGAAGACTGGTTAGCAATCAATGCATTGATTATACTCTTAGGAAATTATTAGTACAAACAATGTACATCTATTCATGTTATGTTTCTCCTTATTATTGTGCATATAGCAATAGCATACATGTACATGTACATAACTAATTACCAAATGCAATATTAGTACCAGTATAGTTGCATTGGCTTATTGTGATTATTTATATTATTTATATAATAATTATATCTCAATATTTGCTCACACACACACACACAGCACAGTATGAGTGAAAGGATTGCTGGATCTCCCAGTAAAAGAGTGTCTTAGATATTCTCATTCAGAACTAAAGACCAGACCACACCCATGGGAAAGAGGAGACGCAGGAAAGATGATAATGAAGAAGATGATGATGAAAGTAAGATACATGTACATAATTATGCATGTACATGTAACATGTATATTAATGTATAATGTACATGTATATTAGCACATGTTATTCATTTTTATTTATTCTTTAGTTGTTCTTCCTTCTGATCCTCTAACGACTGATGGCCCCACCCTCCAGCACCTCGGAAACAAGAGACCACGCCCACAAAGACGTAATCAAAATTGTCCGGCAGGCCTCAAGAAGGCAGCGGAGACGGGACCTTCCTCAATATGGGACCTTCCAGCCAGTGATGACACTGATAATAACAGCACTCCAGTAGAGACTAAAAAGTAAAATTTATAACTGTGCATATGCATATTTAGCCACGGCCACAACCATATTAGCCACGCCCAGTCTAATAAATAATTGGAAAATAGAGAGCTTTTAAGAACATGTAAAGAGTGCAAATTTTCCCTTTCTGAAATCACCCTCAATTTTTTACTACATTCTCTGATACAAACTGCTGTCCTTGTGCTAATAAGAATTTTGTGTTAATCTGACCATAGGCGGCTGCAGGATTTCACTGCAAGTAGGGCAAAGGTGTGGCTGAAAGTGGGAGTGGTCAAAAGGTAGGTGTGGCCATGACCACACCCACATGTCTTGCTCTTGAGTTTTAAGACCTTTAAGACTTCTATTTCAGCATTTTGTGAAGAAATCAAGTTGAAAGAGGCTCTAAAATTCTCAATGAAGAGTTACCCTGCCATTCTTGTGTTCAAGAAGAGAAAATTCAGTACCTAAAAGACCTCTATCAATGATAGAGTATCAGTAGCTAGGTGATTTAGCTGTTGAATGAGTCCTAGCTGATAATAATGAAGCTGCTATATGATGGAGTCAGTTACTCTACCTGCAGGTTACTGTAGATTATGTCTTCCTGAAGTGGCCATAGATATGGGCCTATGAAGTAGCTGGCTGGCTTCCTGTGAATAAACCATGCAGTTAGCAGC